GGAGTCTCTGCATCGTACGGCCGATGAGTATTTTGACGATCAACCGGCTGCTCTACCCGGACTTCCCCTGATCCTGAGATTGAATGCATGAAAACGAAGCCAACGAGCAAGTAGGTACTGTTTCTTTTTAAAATACGTACTCTACTTTCACTTCGAGATAATCGTATGTCGTTGTCTACGGAGTAGTTGATTCATGTATCGAATAAATTCATTGTGTTGTCATTATTTTGTTGTGGTTTGAGCGAGACAGCTTTATATATTTGCACGTACGGAACGGATCAGATGTATGAAGGTGTTCCAAACATTTGTCAAAAGTGTCAAACTGTGTCGACCCTATTGCCAAACTAATAATATACATCACACATTGGCATTACTGTTTCGATCTTGCCAAAGTATGTTTTCGAAACTGATTTATGATTGATGAGTATTTGTAATGACATAAACGTTATGTTAGTTGAGTGAGACAATACATGTCATTGTAATGGTTTCGTGTATTCGTATGCCCGGGATCAGATTATGTATGTATGTATTCATTGCACGATTGGTTAAAAAAGTGCTAAACCGTACGTGTCAACCTTAATACCGCAAGAATAGTCCACTGATACAGAAACAAATGTATTGTTCCCAGCAGATTTATTGGCTTCTTGTTGAATCTTGTTGAATTGTTAACTTATGATTATGTCATGACAGATTTAAGCCGCCCCATCTCGTCAACCTCAGCTCGGCCCATTACCACTCCAATCCGCTCCCGTGAAAGAAGATCTACTCCATTTTCCAGTGGGCTATAGAGTCCAAGCCGACGATAACAACAGTCAGCTACTGTACAGGAGTAGGTTGGGGAACATCAGAACACTAAGTCATCTTCGCCGTTCGTGCAAGATATTTACAACTCTGATGTTCGATGAAGCCCCATCCCTTGAATAATTATGAATTTGGTTGTTTGCATGAGACCGGACACAAAGCGGACATTTCCGTGACAAGCATGACGGTCGCCACCAACCAGGGTACGGTCGGCCTCTCAAGTAATTCTGCATTGGCGTCGCGATAGAGGGCTGGACACCGGAACAGCGCTCATCCAAATTTAAGACAAAACTGATGAAAATGATGAAACGGAGGAAACCGAGGGGAGGAAAACCAGACCCAAGTGTGTGCAAAGTTAACAAGGCGCTCCGTCAGCGCCGTTATAAAGAAACCATGAACATCAACTTGTACGAGAGACTCTTTTCTTTCATCGAAAACATGGATAGGTAGTAGTACGTATACATGTTCCAAGAGTCGGAGAGCATTTCGCAAATGCCCTTATCTAGTGAGACACGTACCAACGTGTGATTTCAAGCACCACTTTCCAGGAGGTAGTTTCCATCTCCCAACTTCCATCTTCAATGACCTTAGCGACGGAGGGGTAGATGTGGAAAGAAACTTGCATTTTTTTCCCATATTGGGCCACTTACGACTTTGAGTGTTGCTTTCCATGCACCTACCAGCATGTACATCAAGCTTCACTGACCGTCTGACTAACACCACGAGCTCCTGAGCGTCAGTGTCGACATTAACGTGCCAGGTTACGAGTAGCCACGATGTTTTGTAAACGACGGTAATTCGGGACTATAGTCAAGGACATGGTGCAGCATTTACTCTCAATTAGTGATGCCGCACACACCGATCTCATGGAAACTGTTGAGTCTGTCTTCGAACAGATAGATGAAATCATCGAAAACACTAACAACGAGCCAGCACCGGGAAAGGACAGGAAACACCAACTGAAAACGCAAAGGAGAGGCGGAGGAGTGCCTACAAGAGATGCTGGTGTTTGGTTTTCAGGGCGGTATGACATCAACGTCGTATCTCTACCCCGCATTGGAGGAGACGGCCCAGCTGAAGTTGGTAGGACGGGTTCGTATTATGGGTCTCAAGTTTCTTGACGTCACAAACCATTTAGCTCCGGGGTACAGTTGCGTCAATTTTTGAAGGCGTACGACTGTCCTCAAACCAAAGGTTTTTTTCCCATACGAGTGGGTGGATGACTACGAGGACTTCTATTGTCGAATAAAGGGCACCGACATTGCAGTGGCCGAGTATTGTCAAAGTGTATGGTATACATGTAACTACACCAATGAGAAAACATCGTAGGAGCCAGTCGGTGTAGGCTATAGTATTCCATCGGTGCCACGAGAAAGGCGAGACGCTCATCCGTGGCAGGCCAAAACTCTGTCGGAACGTACATGTACATGTACATGTACATGTAGTTGGTTTCGATGCCAACGCGCTGTACCTGTGGTCCATAATGCAGGACATGCCCGTCGACACATTCATCAGAAGAAAAGCCGAACAGAACCCCACGCCGGTTCAGAGTCAATGGCGGCCGAGTGCATGGACTGGGTCGCCTAGTCTCTAAGTACATGTATTCACATTCAGCATAAGTTCAGCGTCAAGGAGCACGGATACTGCAAAGGAAACAACACCGTCCATCAATTTCAAGGATGTTTTTGGCATGGACATCCTTGTCATCTTAATCCATCCCATTGTACGGGGGCAACCAAGCCGCGGGGGAGATCATAAACACTGGTTGACGTAGGCACTGCAGGCTCTTGCTGGGATCTCTCTCGATCTCCAACCGGGGCTGGCTTTATTGCTGTTATCTGGTACAATGACCTAGACCTGCCCAAGTCTGTTAAAGATTGTGCAGGCGGTCAGAATACAATGTACAGACAATTATTAATTAGACAAATTGTTATGTAAATATGTGACTGATATTTGAAAGAATACATGTATTAATAAACTGAAGGTGACTCCGTACATTTGATATGCATATACATTGTAAATACATGTATAAATAAAAGCGACCATGGGAAAAGCCGTTTCAATTCTAATTGTGCCTTATTTGCCTCAACTAGTCTCTTTTTGCGATAAGCTTGCTTTCAATAACTTTAATCTATCAATTTCAGTTCTGATGATGACTGTGCAAGAGAGTTGGGCCCGATGTAGGCAGAATTTATGCCAGAGTCTAACTAAAGTGTCCGAAAAAGTACATGTACACATGTAAATTGTTCTACTTCATGTAGTCCCATAACCGACAATAAAACCCATCCCGTGGCGAACGGCCGCCTATTTCACTTTCCAAATTTACCTGCAAAATCTACGGCACTAACAATGTCAATTTCAACGCATTACAGTGCATCTAGAAAAACTAAGGAATCTCCTACCGCTGGTTTCGGATCCAGGGTCCTACAAACCTTGACAAACTAAACGATTTATTCTACAAAACTGATAAACACGGTTTTCGCGATGCATTTCCGGTTATGTATAGCGCCCCCTGTTGAGTATTTATGCATAATTCATCATAAAACAATCGGTCTTCCCATTTTTAAGCTAATCCCTGAGAGGCAAGAGCCCTTTTACATGAATATGTTTAGAATCAATCTGAAGTTAGGCCGAATTAAAAAAAACACCTCATGTTTCTCGTCCGGGTTTTCGAAAAAAAGGAGGAAGCGGGGCTTTTTATTTTTTATTTTTTATTTGTTTCAAGATGGCCGCCATTTAAAAATTTCCTGCAATTGTTTGTGTGTCCACTGTTCAAAGACATTTTTAAAATGAAAGATAAGTTGGACAAGAGAACTGAACATATTTACAGTGTCATTTAGACTTGTATTGGTCTACAATTTATTTTCCGATGAATTTGTGGACATTTGTTTTTTTTACTGCATTTTTCAAAAATAAAAAATAATAAAACAATCCAGGCGGCCTCCAAAAAGGAAGCGGGCGGGGACGAGAAACATGTTCTTTTTTTACTTCGCCTTAAGTCCCATTTTTATTTGAGATGGACTAATTCGTCTAAAATTGATACAGGCCGAGGAAAAAAAACCCACGAAACCCAAATGTTGGGACCATTGTTTTAGTGAAGTTCTGCATGTAAGCCTAGCACTTTCAAAATCTAGGATATGAAAGCCCTATTCATCAGCTTTCTTTTAGTTCAAGAATCGTTCAAATCAATCATGTTACGGAATTTTAAACACAGCCACCGTTTTTAAAGTTCTGTCCACGGATCACAAAAAAGGTAAGTGTTCTTGGAATGTACATGTATGTGAATTGTTTTCGTTTTGCTGAAAGAACGCACACCTTTTTGTGATCCGCACACCGAACTTTAAAACGGTGGTTGTGTTTAACATTCCGTAACTTGAAAAGTACATGTACATAGTGGTTTGAATGATTCTTGTACTAAAAAAAGAAATATGAATTGGGCTTTCATATCCTAGACTTTGAAAGTGCTACATGCAGAACTTCACTAAAACAATAGTCCCGACATATGTTTTTTTTTAATCATCCTGTTTATAAGATTATGACGACGTTCAATAACAATCATGTGAAATAACATGATCAGCATTTACCAGAACGCGTGAACGTGCGACGTAAAACATTTTGTGCATTATGACTGATACACAGATACCTGCTTGTTCGTGTACATGTACATGTGGTTTGTGAATTCAGACATAAATATAGGTCAACTTATACAATTGTGACATACTCTGTAATATGTTATTCGTAGTACCCGATACTGGGGAGGTATTGTCATTCTTGTTATTTTGATAAAACTGCATGATCAGTTATTCAGTTTGTAAAAAAAAAAAATCAGTTTGAGAAGTGAAACTTTTTGCTCTTGCCTCCATTCAGTTTTTGGGTTTGAAAACACTGCCCCAGCGTCCTTCAACTAATCATTTGGCGGACCTCCCTTCCAGACTCATGGTGCACATAACACTGCTCATCGTCACCCGCGAAGGTGCATTTTGAAATGAATTTCGAGCTATCTGGAAGTGAATTTAGAGACATCTTGAAATCCATATTGAAATCCATATTTCGACATACATTGCCTTATCTCAAATTTTCGAAAATTAAGAGGTATCTTGCAATGATTAACGATATCTTGAAATAACAAAAGCTTCTGTTTTAACCTGAATGTCACTAATGCGCGCCACACTACCAAAAAGAAGAAGAAATTGTGCACTGTCACAGAATGATCCAGCACTTGCATTCAATACGTTTTGTTGTCAGTTAGTCATACGAATAGGGAGGTAAAAGTCGACAAAAGGTCAAAGGTTTAATCAGGTGATGACTTTGCGAAAAGTCAACTATCCAAAGTTCACACGATAAAAACGAATTAATCGTTGAACTTGTCGTTAACTTTAGACATGCATAAAGCCTGGGTGCATCAGACAGTCGCTCCCCGAGGTATCTCATTCGCTTTGCTGTAGTTTGAAATCAGTTTGTTGTCAAGGAAGCTCGTTTGAAAGACTTTGAGAACAAGGTATGATATGTTCATGATTATTGACTAGATCTAACTTTGTCATTCAAAGTATGCCAGTACTTCCGTTGTGACAGTCAATCGTTGTGGAAATCTTTTTAATGCCCGACGACAATGCAGTCAAACCAACGCCATGCACGTACATGGTCATTTTAGCAAAAAGTGTTCAGAGTTTTGGCAGCGGGGTCTGGACAGAGCCGTATACAGAGAGAGTTGTGACATGAGGGTCGCACCGTTTGGTACCAAAATGGCTGATTTTGCATTAGTGCTCATACATAATTCCAAACAATAGTCGCACGCTACTCTGTACACATAACGGACGACCATTATGGTTCAACAGTCTGTTGAGTTGGCGCAACTCTCTCTATGTACATGTATACGGCTCTGGGTCTGGAGGCCACGCCTTCTCTAAAAGCCGTCGGTTAATTGCCCTCAGAGATGTTAAAAGGAGAGCGAAAATTTCAGGAAAATCCTTTAACTTTTCAAAATCAATTTCCAAACCTTCCTCCGAATCAACCTGAGTGCCAAAGGTTATGTCCTCAAAATTTGTTTCTATTATTTTATGTCCCGTACCTCTCCCACATACCTGTTCGAAGGTCTTTTTTTCTTCGTTCGTCTTTTAGGAAGATGGCAACCTCTGAGAAGGCTCCCTCGTCCGAAAACCAGGTCCGACTCTTGATATGGACTGTTCCTCGCTCTCTTTCAACAGTTCTTTCCAAATGTCTGAGCTTCGTCGAAAACACAAAGGTTTTCTTCGAAATGTATGAAAGCATCTTCATTGCACCGGGGGTAAAGACAGAGGATGAAATGGCTAACATGTCTGAAGAAGAACAGAAGTTTTTGTTGGCTGTGAGGGAAAAAGCCCATGGGATATCAGCAGGGGTTGATGCATCTCAATGCACCTTCCAAGGTGTCAAAGAACAACTCGAGGAAGCCCATACTGGGAAGAAGTTCATCTTCTCCAAAGACATGGCCTATGCTGTCATGGACCGGCTGGAGTCCATCCCGAAGGGTTTCCGGCACCTGTTCCTCATTCGTCATCCTCTTAAAGTCTTCCCGTCTTGGAAGAGGTCGTTCCTGCCATTAGTGCCGTATATGTCTCTAGCAGATGACTATCGTTTGGATGACCTGCCTCAAAAATATTTCCCAAAAGGTTTTGGCTACAAGGAAGTCTATGAGTTGTTTGAGCACGTGAAGAAGGAGCTCGACCCTGAAGCAATCATCATCGACGCCGATGACCTTCTCAAAGATCCTAAAGGTATCCTGTCAGCAGTCTTCAATGACATCGGCTTGCCCTTTGATGAGAAGATTCTAAACTGGGAGGCAGGGGATGCGGTCATTGAACAATGGATCATCCCTCGTCTGTACGTGCAAGTGGACCAGTTGGTAGGTTTCTACAAGAACGCTCTGGACAGTACCTGCTTTCTTAAGCCCAAGCCGCTTCCAGATCGCTCTTCTCTTTCTCCTGATCTCCTTCCTTTTGTTGACGCTTCCATGCCATACTACCAGAAAATGTACAGCCAGCGCCTATCTGCGTCAAAGTCGTAGAATTTGATGAAGGTGTCACAAATGATTATAAGAAAGCCTGTTGTATACGAATGGAAAAATTCCGCTTGTTGACTTAATGTGTTTTGAGTGTGTTCAATTTGGAGATATATCATTAATTTTAAACAAGGGATCGGGGTTTAACACTTCCGTGTGCATGGGACGAATGCACAACGATTGAACTGATTATCGATAACGCTAAACATTATGCTGTACGTTTCTTCAATTAGTTTAACAGCTATGCCTTTTAATTCGGTGGTTGAATGTGTTCATAGTTGTAGACATTTATTTCTTGTGTATTATGTAGTAACACTCACATTAATACTCATCTGTCTTCGACTTTCTATTGTTTTGAATAGAAACAAATGCTTAATTTAAATAAATTACTGCAACGCGTCGGTGAAGGGCAAAAACCTAATTTGATTTATATCACCCCGACGCAAAATTCCATCTTATAATAGTTTATGCGATACCCGCTGCTATGTACATCAGATTCGAACCGGCCAACCGATCCCGATAGCTCGGTGGTCGAGTGGTAAGACATCTGCACTAGAAAGCAGGAGGTCGTGGGTTCGAGTCCCACCCGAGTGATTTTTCCAACTTTCACTCGGGAGGTAACACACTGAGTATACATTGTTTAAAAACGTCGGTGAAGGGCAAAACCTAATTTGATTTATATCACCCCGACGCAAAATTCCATCTTATAATAAATTACTGCACTTTCCGCCTGGGATTTCATCACATGTTGCTCATGAGTACACAGAGTATAAGATAAGTAAAGTGAAATATGAATATAATCCATGTTGAATATACATGTAATACATTTTTTCCCTGACACGGCAACAGAAATGCAACACAATAAAGTAATTATCTAATCCATTTGCTTAATGTAAAACAATAGCCACAGATATAGCCCTTTGAAAAGGAAACATAACAATGCCTTATACAACCCTTGTAGAATTTTACGCTTGATCAGTATGTAATACGAGGTCAACATTAAATTGTCTTCAGATTTCTTGAGGCTGAATACAGCATTATAGTTTAGTTAGAATCGGAGCATTTCATGCTGACATGATTGGTCAGGTGGAAGTCACCTGAGCCTCTATTTGGCGGTCTCAAACTTTTAGAAATCGTCGATCTGAATCATCAGTCGAATTTTAGTTCACTAAATAAAAGAATGAAAAGTTATGGCTATTTAGCGGCGTAGTTCAACCGCCCCCCCCCTAAAAAAGAAAAGAAAAAAGAAATTACGCGTTAGGCCTTACGATATATTGGTTTATTTGACTGGTATTTATGCAGAAAAAACATGACTATAACATTCTGTTTATAGTACAATAAAGTAGATGTCTTATTGCCTAACAACAGACTTTATTGAAATAATAAACGATTTGGACTCTTTCATGAGAGAAGCCATTCGAACCATAATGGATGAATCGGAAAACATGGACAGGAAACTGTATCTGTTGCAGCACCACTGACAATAAATCTGCTTTTAAGCCGGGCACTAGGTCCTGAAATCCCCCAAAATCTCATGTTTTGGATCGTTTACTTATCCTATTTCAAACATCTGGTTCAAAGGAAACCAACGTAATGTCTTACCGTCCCCGGAGAAAAGACGAAAAAAATCTCGTTTTTTTACATCGGACACGACGGAGTACGAATACGTTTTCCCTGTCGTTTTGGTCAATGTACGATATACACGTTGTGTGTGTCTATACAGCACCGTACTCGCGAACAGCGTTGACCCATCACCAAATGCACTAAATGTTGTTTCTTACACGTCCGCAAAAGGAGAACACTTTACAGATGAAATCACAACTAGCACCCAAACAGCTCAACTTTTTGGGGTCGCAAAAGTGGACCCCGAAAGTCGTTCTCGCACACATAATACAGGAATAACACAAACACGCCCAGGTTTTAAAGGATAGTTTTGTGGATGTTTATATCCTACTTTTACATGTTCTTTCCGATTAACATAATATCGTTCAAAGCGCGTTTTGTAGCCCAATTGGGCTGTTTTAGGACGCATGGTCCCTTTAATTGTTTACATCGTTGAGATTTGTTTGATAATCTCCAAGGCAACAAATCAAGTGATCATTTGCAAAATGAAACAGCGTGACGCACACTGACGTCAATCATGTATAAAGTTCACCTTTTTGCGAATTCTTTTCATTACATGTACATAACTTCTCAATCGTGACTGTACCTCACTATTTCTTTGCCCTCGTTAATCGTGGTGTGTTTGCTTATTGATCGTCCGATGTGTTGTGAAATAGAAGTCAAAAAAATACCGAGTCATCGCTTGTAATGTGCATGTATGGTGTTTTAAAACGGACAGGCAAACCTCGCGGTTTTTCAACTTTCAAACGTCGCGGTTCAACTTTCAAACGTCGTACTTCAGTTTACAAACATCGTGGTTCAATTTCAAACGCCGTGGTTCAACTTTTCAAACGTCGTACTTCAACTTTCAAACGTTGTGGTTTAACTTTGCAAATATCTTTATGGTTGGTCCTTGGTACAGGTGCAAATCGATTAGATTTTGGAAGTGATCCAGATTTGGGGGTTGGATGCAGGATTTTTTAATGGATTCTTCACCACATCTGAGAAGAGAAAAATGCCACTGTGTGTACGCGTGCAAGTAACGCAGCGTGCAGTCTATGAGCACATAGGACACACACCATAAGCCCAAGCCACACATCACGGTTGGAGCTACGAATACCCACGGTTTGCCAAGAATCAATGAATGAACCGAAATCAATGAATGAACCGAAATCAGTGAAGAGAAATCGAATTTCTTAAGAATGCAATATGGTTTCAGGACAGATAGCCACGACTGTCCTAAGGTTTCTCTCAAGGGCGGATCCAGAACACAATTTTTTTTTGGGGGGGGGCCAACAAAAATTTTGGTCCCCCCAAAGAGTGGGTCAAAAAAATTACGGCGTGGGGTTCGGGGCCCGCTTTAGGGCCCCGAAAAAAATTGGATTCTAGATGCTCTGTGGTGCGATCTGAGGCAATTTCTGACCACTTTAACCAATGTTTTTTTGAGGAAAAGATGGTGGTGTACTCATTGCCTGCCTTTATTGCGATGTCACATAAAAAAAAAAAAATTGGTTTCGTTTTTTTTTTTTTGGGGGGGGGCCATGGGCCCCCTTTGGCCCCCCCTGGATCCGCCCTTGGTTTCTCTACGAATACACCACGGTTGGTCAAGAATATAGACGGATTGTTGAAGAATATCGACGGTATTACTATAGAATAAAGACGTTAACGTCACGGTTGTCTGCGATTGGGCCACGGATGACCAAGGTTCTCCTACGAATGAAACATGCATATTCGTAGTACAACCTTAGCAGAACTAGCACATCCGGGCATATCCGTAGAGATTTCTACCACGTAGAGATTTCTACCACGAATGAACTACGAATCTCAAAGAATATGCACGAATAGCCACGAATAACACTACGAATAAGTACGGTTGTCCTACGGATGTCCCACGATTGGACTACGGATAAATTTTAATGACGGTTCACCACGGAAGTTATGAACAGTTTAAAACTTCCGTAGCCCCTCCACGAATACCCAAGGGAGATGACGGATAACCACGGACGTCTTAAGGATGAATACGGTACCCCCACGGTTTATCACGAATTTTAAACCGCGGAGATCCGTAGCTCCAAACCGTGAATGTGTGACTTGGGCTTTAGCCTTTTCGACTGGCAGACACAATAGGAGGGCGCTGTTTGATTTGGGTAAAGTTTTTAAATTAACACAGATAAAACAATGATACATAGGTTGGCGATATAAAATAACCCTATATAATAATAGTACTATAACTGTAGTACCCAAATAAGAATCGATACTTTCTATTTTACATGTACCGGGGTGAAAGCCTATAGAATAAGGGCGGTGGCTCTAAGGAATGTTCAGTATTTCGGCGTAAACTAAATTATCCCTGATTCAAGCCAAACACTACTGACTAAAGATAAATGCTTGAGGTATATTAAATATTCAGAATGAAAAATCGAAGTGAAACTACTTACAAATACATGCAGTTGGCTACAGAAAAGGAATGAGGACGAAGTGAGTCGGTCGGGAGCGTGGACGCAACTGAATTCGGATCTCCCGCACGCGGGGGTGGCAAGCGGGGAGACCAAAGGTATTACGTAATTGCATACCAACGATGCTTAAGCGTTGGTCGAGGGGCAGACTAATTACTAGATTTGACCACTAATGATCATTTGACTAGTGACTAATGTAAATAAGGGGCGTATTCTAAACCCCGTTCCCGTGTTGAATGAACACGAGAAACAGGGTTCCGAATGATGGGAACCAACACGCGAACGGTGTTGGCGAACAGGATTCTCACTCCCCACTTATTGGGGAGTAGATGAAGAACGTCGAGAACAAAGATGGCGGACCTAGGCCCCTACCGGAACTTGCGTTTATAGACCATTTGGTATTACATGTATGATAATTGGATGTTGTGGTCAAGTGATACAAACTTTCAGCGAGCGGTTCTCTTCTGAACTGTATTGCACATGTTTTGACATAAATACGGTTACAGAATGTTGACACTCTATTTCATTTGGACCAGTAACTTTTTACCAAGTTGGTTAGCAACCTTCCAACAGCTTTGATTTGTGTGTTGCTTAAACGACGTTTTGGGTGACAGTTAGGCCTACTAGTCCTCAATTTTTGTATAACCGTATCATGTTTGACCGTATCCGGTTCCTTAGTAAAAACGTCATACACGCGTGCGCACCACTGATAACTAGCGCCCATTGGATAAACGCTCGAGTTGCGTGAAAACAGTGTACAACTTCTAGATGCTTTTATGGATTTGGATGAGACTTAGATACGGTAACCCTTGGGTGGGAAAACACAATTCTTCATCGAATTACTGAGTACCAAAGGTCATGTAGGGGTCATTAGAGGTCATTGTTCAAATCTGCTTCAAATGTTTCTTTGAATTTTAATGTAACTTGGATTGAGTAATGCTAGGTGGGGTTTCATCACAACTCTTCCGAAATTGGAGGTCAAAGGTCATCTAGGGGTCATTTGAGGTGGTCGTTTAAAAATGCAGAAAATCTTACTTTTTTTCAGAACACAAAGCATATAGCCAGGGATCGACCGCGAAAAAAGGCAACACGTGCGATCCGCGGATCATCTTGTCTGATATTTTTGTCAACCTCGTCTTGTGATTTTAGCTACATGAAGGTGATAAAATGGGAAACGGGGAGAAAAAAATTACCATATAATAAATACCATATTTTTTTCGCAAATAGTACGGTGTGTAGAAACAAGTAAAATCCCTGGTTGAGAGGATGAGAGGACGTTGTCTCTCATCATATCAGGTGTCTATAGTGTACCTGTATCGGTATGTCATGGCTGCCATACGGTCAAACCGTAATGAGCTCCTTGGTGCAGGTATAATTAAGT